GAAAATGAGAGAAATTAGATCGAAAAAAAGAGAGCAACGATTTACAAAGAGAAACAAGAAAAAAACGAGAAATTAAAAAAACCAGCGACCTTCTGCTGATTTCTGTTCGCCTGGTATCTCAGATTTTAATTTAACGGTTTTCTGCCATTTGAGCGGTGGAAAGTGGAGGCAGAAAATGAGAGAAATTAGATCGAAAAAAGAGAGCAACGAAATACAAAGAGAAACAAGAAAAAAAGAGAAATTAAAAAAACCAGCGACCTTCTGCTGATTTCTGTTCGCCTGGTATCTCAGATTTGAATTTAACGGTTTTCTGCCATTTGAGCGGTGGAAAGTGGAGGCAGAAAATGAGAGAAATTAGATCGAAAAAAGAGAGCAACGAAATACAAAGAGAACGAAGAAAAAACGAGAAATTAAAAAAACCAGCGACCTTCTGCTGATTTCTGTTCGCCTGGTATCTCAGATTTGAATTAAGCGGTTTTCTGCCATAAGAGCGGTGGAAAGTGGAGGCAGAAAATGAAAGCAATTAGATCGAAAAAAAGAGAGCAACGAAATACAAAGAGAAACAAGAAAAAAAGAGAAATTAAAAAAACCAGCGACCTTCTGCTGATTTCTGTTCGCCTGGTATCTCAGATTTGAATTTAACGGTTTTCTGCCATTTGAGCGGTGGAAAGTGGAGGCAGAAAATGAGAGAAATTAGATCGAAAAAGAGAGCAACGAAATACAAAGAGAACGAAGAAAAAACGAGAAATTAAAAAAACCAGCGACCTTCTGCTGATTTCTGTTCGCCTGGTATCTCAGATTTGAATTTAACTGTTTTCTGCCATGTGAGCGGTGGAAAGTGGAGGCAAAAAATTAAAGAAATTAGATCGAAAAAAGAAACAACGAAATACAAAAGAAACAAGAAAAAAACGAGAAATTAAAAAAACCAGCGACCTTCTGCTGATTTCTGTTCGCCTGGTATCTCAGATTTGAATTTAACGGTTTTCTGCCATGTGAGCGGTGGAAAGTGGACTCAAAAAATGAGAGAAATTAGATCAAAAAAAGAGAGCAACGAATTACAAAGAGAAACAAGAAAAAAAGAGAAATTAAAAAAACCAGCGACCTTCTGCTGATTTCTGTTCGCCTGGTATCTCAGATTTGAATTTAACGGTTTTCTGCCATTTGAGCGGTGGAAAGTGGAGGCAGAAAATGAGAGCAATTAGATCGAAAAAAGAGAGCAACGAAATACAAAGAGAAAAAGAAAAAAAACGAGAAATTAAAAAAACCAGTGACCTTCTGCTGATTTCTGTTCGCCTGGTATCTCAGATTTGAATTTAACGGTTTTCTGCCATTTGAGCGGTGGAAAGTGGAGGCAAAAAATGAGAGAAATTAGATCGAAAAAAGAGAGCAACGAAATACAAAGAGAACGAAGAAAAAACGAGAAATTAAAAAAACCAGCGACCTTCTGCTGATTTCTGTTCGCCTGGTATCTCAGATGTAAATTTAACGGTTTTCTGCCATGTGAGCGGTGGAAAGTGGAGGCAGAAAATGAGAGAAATCAGATCGAAAAAAGAGAGCAACGAAATACAAAGAGAAACGAAGAAAAAACGAGAAATTAAAAAAACCAGCGACCTTCTGCTGATTTCTGTTCGCCTGGTATCTCAGATTTGAATTTAACGGTTTTTCCGCCATTTGAGCGGTGGAAAGTGGAGGCAGAAAATGAGAGAAATTAGATCGAAAAAAGAGAGCAACGAAATACAAAGAGAACGAAGAAAAAAACGAGAAATTAAAAAAACCAGCGACCTTCTGCTGATTTCTGTTCGCCTGGTATCTCAGATTTGAATTTAACTGTTTTCTGCCATGTTGAGCGGTGGAAAGTGGAGGCAAAAAATTAAAGAAATTAGATCGAAAAAAGAGAGCAACGAAACAAAGAGAAACAAGAAAAAACGAGAAATTAAAAAAACCAGCGACCTTCTGCTGATTTCTGTTCGCCTGGTATCTCAGATTTGAATTTAACGGTTTTCTGCCATGTGAGCGGTGGAAAGTGGACTCAAAAAATGAGAGAAATTAGATCAAAAAAAGAGAGCAACGAATTACAAAGAGAAACAAGAAAAAACGAGAAATTAAAAAAACCAGCGACCTTCTGCTGATTTCTGTTCGCCTGGTATCTCAGATTTGAATTTAACGGTTTTCTGCCATTTGAGCGGTGGAAAGTGGAGGCAGAAAATGAGAGCAATTAGATCGAAAAAAGAGAGCAACGAAATACAAAGAGAAAGAAGAAAAAACGAGAAGTATGTGAGAATACATGGCCCACACACATTTACGTAAAATGACATCTCGGCAGCCACAAATTATTCTATGCATACAATCATATATTTTGGATTGTTACACGTACACACATACATGCTTGCTGCCAGTCGGCTCGTGTCACGTAATTAGCCGAACACGGTCGGTCCCAGTGCCGAACGCCGTCGGTCCCAGAGCCGAAGACCTGGGAACGTACGCTGAAAACTCAGCTGCGACACGTTCGTTGTATGAACTGGCACATCTATATACTGTATGGTTAGTGGTATTTTGGTATACTAAAGTATTTTCTTGACTCTATCGCTATCGAAAGCCGATAAGCATAAACATAACAGCTGATTGTTTTAAGATTAAATTTAAATTTATTTAATATCCATTTTCTTATATATTCAGTTAAAACTATTAGTTTGGATAGTCTAGATTATTCCTATCGGGTAATGGACTGACAACAGCAACCGGCAGGATTCCTATTAAATTTTATTCAAAAAACGATAAGAAGATCGGCTCTTTCTGTTTCGACCAATCGAATAAAGATTATGAGCGGTGGAATGATAACCAGACACGGTGACAGAGGGAGAGGATTTGTATAATGTATTTACTGATATAATGGACTGATAAGCTTCCCTCACTATCTTAACAAGTGCCGGTGTCGTTAAATACTTGTGCTGCAATTTGCTGCTCCTCAGTACCGGATCGGAATTGACCAGCGAATCAATCATGCATTTCGGAGTCTTGGGCAGCGGCATAATTGGCCTCACGACCGCCCTGGAGCTGCAGGAGCAGTTTCCCTCGGCACAGGTATCCATCCTTGCCGACCGCTTCAACGAGGACACAGTCAGCTATGTGGCGGCGGGCATCTTCCGGCCAGGCACCAGTTTCATGGGCCCCACCCAGGAAATTACGCAGTACGACCACCTGTTCCAAGGTCAGGTCCAGCACGGCCATCTAATCCTTCTTTCGATTGCAGGCAATGGATGACGGATGCCTTCAACTACTGGGATGAGCTGCGTCGCTCCAAGGAGGCTCCTCTAGCGGGGGTGTGCCAACTGTCGGGCTACATCTACTCGCGCACCTCCCCCACCATAGTGCGAGTACGTTGCCAAGCTACTATCAGCGATTCTTATCTGAGTTGGCTTTATTCGATTAACGAGACATTGCCGTTTCTTGCTCTTGCTCCAGAACCACTTCATTGAGAAGCTTCTGCCCGTGTACCGACGCGCCACGGACGAGGAGCTGAGGTTGTGCCAGGGCGGATGGAAGTACGGCTCTTTCTTCACCACCTGCTTGACGGAAAGTCGCCTCTTCCTGCCCTATGCCACGAGCAAGTGAGTGTGCGTCCGACCCCTACCACCAGCAATCATTCACGCAAAAAATTCTTTGGCAGATTCCTTAAAAACGGAGGGACAGTGGATCGGCAGCATGTGAAGAACTTCTTCGATGTGCAGCAGAACTTTGATGTCCTAGTGAACTGCACTGGGATGGGCGCCAAGGAGCTGTGCAACGATCAGCACTTGGTGCCCATTCGGGGTCAGGTACTGAAGGTGCAGGCGCCGTGGATTAAGACGGCCTTCTATGGCGACTACGACACCTACGTGCTGCCGGGCTTCGAGACGGTCACGTTGGGAGGCTGCCGGCAGTTCGATAGCTACAACACCGAGTGGTGCAAGTACGACAGCATGGCCATCAAGGAGCGATGCTATGACCTCCTGCCGAGCCTCAAGAAGGCGGAGATTGTCAGGGAGTGCGTGGGACTTCGTCCGCATCGTGCGATCGTTCGCGTGGAGCCAGAGCTGGTCACGAATGCGGAGGGAAGACGCTTGAAAGTGGTTCACAACTACGGACACGGAGGCTACGGCGTGACTACAGCTCCTGGAACGGCCAAGTATGCCGTGAAGATTGTACGCGAAATGCTGGCTGGGAATAGCAAGCTGTAGAGGGTGCAGAGGGGCGTTGCATTGTTATATGTATGTGTTGATCATTAAACTGTTTATAATCACAATCAAAGCCACGCAGAATCTTTGAACCTCTTTAGTGGCGTGGCACTTTGCTTTGGATATTAAACCATAAACCATAAACCGATATAAACTGTTGACGATACTCGATTAGATTTCAAATTGCTGGCGCTCTGCCAGTGTTGGCCAACCCAACCGACAACCGCCAACCGTCCACTGTGCGCATGTCCGCCCCGCCGCATGAATGGAAAGCTCGCCTCCAGTTGCCCAGGAAAACAGCCCCCCATCGATTTTCAGCAGTCAGTGAGTGGGCAGCAGCAGTCGAGTTGATATATGAAAACGTATACAAAACTTTCGAACAGCATATTCGCCGTAGCAGCCAATCCAATTCGCCGTCTCAGAGCTCACAATTTTTTCCCTCATTTGAGTCCTGCGAAGACGACGTGTCGATGCGATATTCCTCGTTTGGCGAAAGAAAAAAGGTGAAACAGTTGAGAAAACAATTGGCAGGCCAGGGATCTTTTGCACTGCCACTTCGAGGCGACTCCTGAATAATTGATTTGATCGACTGCAGTGCTGTGGCGAGCCGTGTGGGTGCGCGTACGTTGAATAATTGATTGGGTAACCGTAAACAAAGAGTAGCAGCACGGACCAGGACTCTACCGTATGTTAGGCCAGTGCCAAGGCTAACTTCCAATAGGCAGACCAAAGGGGAAAGAGCAAACGGAACGAAAGCAAAATCCACGTACAGCGGAGCCAGAGCCAGAGCCCCAGCCCCAGCCACATTATCGATTGCGTATGTGTATGTCTGCGAAATAGCCGTGTACACCTAAACACCTATACACCTGCACACCTACTCCCACACATCTGCCCACACACACAAACACACACACAGTAACGCACGTCAACGGCAAGAACAGGAACGGCAGCACTTGACGTATCCAGACAACGCACGGAATCTGCAGGGATCAGCAGGAGCAACCGCAAACGCATCAACCTCAAAACACAGTAAGTACCATCCATCCCTCAACATATTAGTACGCCCCTTAATATTAAGTATACGCCACGTTGAAGTCTCCTCTAATGCGTGGGAGTCCGATTGCTCGGAGGTCAGTGAAAGTTACCGCAGACCATAGATAGTTTGATTAGAATGCATCTTCTGCCTGCCCGCCGAACAGCTGCTTAGCCATTTGCAAATTGAAGCACGAATGAACAGCAAGGCAGCAGAAGGCAGAGATGGAGAAGGTGGAGGAGGAGGAGCAGCAGCAGTCATCCCCCACACAGGGGTAAAAACAACACACAAAAAATCGATAATCACACGAAGCCAGGCAGATAAAAACATTTCTACACCGCCTCTGATAAGAGGCGGCCCGGCCCGCCCTGCCTATTGACTCGAGCACGTCTGTCTGTCGCTGTGCCCACGGCTTCTGCCACACTCTGGTGATGCGATGTGATGTGATGCTCCGGTGCGGTGCGTGCCTGGAGAGGGTTCTGCTCCTTGACAGCCGCTGCCGGGAGCATTGGCTTGGGGCTGTCCTTTTGCCAGGGCCTTGACGATGACGCGCGCACTCCTCTGTGGACCCCAGAGCCTGAACCGTCGTTCATCAGAAATCTGACAGTATTTTGCCGCTGCGCAACTCTTGATTTAAGCGGGAGCAGTGGGAGAAGGACACTGAGACTTAGACGGAGACGGAGAAGCCATGGCAGAGGGAAGATAAAGTTGTCTATACACACAAATTATCGACACAATGTCGCGTCCAAGGAGCGGAGCTGCTGCCTTGCATATGGAAATTGTGAAAGCCGAGCGCCGAGCGCCGAGAGTCGAAGAATAAATGGGAAAACTGTAAGCTGAAACTGAACTGCTGTCACCGAGTCCATGGCATGACAAGGCTGAAACTTTTCAAGGCCGCGCTACCAGCGCTTCCCACCCCCCTAACCCCCTTGCATGTTTCTCTTAGCTTGTTTCCCTTGTCCACTGCTCTGCCACTGACGTGACAGCCATACCAACAGCCACGGAGAAAGCAATCTGCTTGTGGGCCAGTTGTAACTTGCTGGGAAGCGGCCGGAAGGGAAGCCTGAGCATGTCCTATCCACTGTGTGCTGCAACACTTTCCCCGGTTGACCTCACCTCCCTTCAGCAGTCCTCGAGGTTCAAGGCAGGAGGGGGGATATGATTCACAAATATAAACGCAACTCTTTAATCCATACACGCGCAGTTCAATTAGTTCTCAGGACAAAGAGCAACTGGCCTTGGGTCCAGGCTGTGTCCCGTCTGCGTATCCGGTTCCGCGTGATAAAAACAAAAACAAACTGAACAATAATTAAACGCCCATTCCCCTACTCAGATCAGTTCGGGGTGGCCGTGGACCCCAATGTTGACGCCATCGCCCACGTCGCAATTGGCATCGGCATTGCAGCTGGCCTGGCCTTCGCTTGCGGGGCTGTCCTCGCCGTTCATGAAATCATCTTGAGCAGCCTGCTCCGGCTGGGGGGCGCACATGTCACTGGCCGTGGAGTCGCTATGGAGGACAATGGCTGTAGTGCTGTAGTCCTGCTGTGGCTGCTCCTTGCGCATAAATGTGCTCATGCAGATGTCCCTGGAGTTGCTGGTTATGACGGTGGTTGTTTTCATCGACTCCAGCAGCTCGCCCTCTTCCTCAGAAGCCACCAAAGGTGCGACACTCTGCTGATCTTGATCCTGCTCCTGCTTCACGGGCTCATCCTGCTGCACTTCCTCCGACTGCGGCTGTTGCTGCTGCTGCTGCTGGACTGGCGGCTTGACTGGCGGCTTGACTTTCAGCTGTTTGGCATCGAAAGGACAGAAGCAGTTTAGGTTGATGCTTCGATTGCCCAGGGGCTGGACGGGACGGGCGTTCCTAGTGATGGGGGTGACACCGTCGGTGCCCAGCAGCTGTCGGAAGTGGCGCAGCTGGAAGTCACTGACGGCCAGCGTCTCGGGAAAAATGAACCACTCGGTTCCCTCGTAGAACGGAGGGTGGGTCAGCGACCCGCCGTAGGAGTAGAAGCCAGTCCGGAAGGCGGGCATGAGGTAGCAGAGTGGAAACGGAGATATATTCGCACGCTTTCCGGGCTCATGCACCTGGCGGAGATTCTGAACGAGCGGATCCAGGTACGGGTTGTGGGCGGATAGCTCAAACAAGTAGGCGATGGTCAGGAGGTCGTAGCTGCTGGTGCGAGACCGTGCCAGTCCGGAGCCGGCACGGTGCATCACCTGCATCTCCATGGGGAACTTGCGGTGGTTGAAGGTGTGCTCGGAGCCCTCGCTGTTGCACCAGCCCCAATGGAAGCGCACCTCCACGAAGGTGTAGCTGGCGAGCAGATCGGCCCCGCTGATGGTCGGTGTGTTGCCGTGGAACTGAGCCCGCAACACCAGGGTGTGGCCAGTGTTCTCCAGCTGAATGCTCTCCGGCAGATCGTCGTAGTGGTTCCAGTTGAGCAGCTCCCTGATGGCCAGGCGGTTCAGCTGTATTTCGTCGATATTGATGGGGCTCTGGAAGCCAGACCCTTCCACGCTTTCGAGTCCGCCCTCTCGCGGATCAATCAAGTCGTACCCACAGTAGTTGGTGGGGAAATCCGAGTGTATGAGCCAAATCTTCAGGCACTGCAGAATCGCCTGGAAACGCTCACGCAGTCCGTTTTGTTCCGCCTGACGGACGAGGCCCAGCAGCAGGCACATTACGCTGGTCAGCAAAGGATGCTGCACCATCTGGCAGAAGGACTGGCTGACGAGCAGCCAGAACATCTGCATCAAGAGGCCAATCAGACAGCCAAGCGTTGTGTCGAACATTTTTCTTAGTCTGCGAACATAAAATACGATTAAAATTACACAAAACTTCTAAACGAAAACGTACCGAAAAATCAGGGCGAGAAAAGTTGAATAAAAAAAAACGCGAACTTTTTTTATTTTTATTTGATTTTTGAATATTTTCAGAGTCGACAGCTCGTGCTGTGGCAGATTCGAATTTGTTTATGTGACACTGACCTGAATGAGTTTCCCCCATCCACTTGCCATTCACAGCTGTGACAGGCAATGCAAAGCCACCTAAACTGATTCCTTCCATTCGATTTCGTTTCCGGCACAGGCAGACAGGCACACAGAAAGACAGCAAAGCGCTCTGAACAGAAATGGCCAGCGGCGGGGATCCCAAGTGGCAGAAGGATGCGGCCGACCAGAACTTTGACTACATGTTCAAGCTGCTCATCATCGGCAACTCCAGTGTGGGCAAGACGAGCTTCCTCTTCCGCTATGCCGACGATAGCTTCACATCCGCCTTCGTCTCCACGGTGGGCATCGACTTCAAGGTGAAGACTGTCTTTCGCCACGACAAGCGGGTGAAGCTTCAGATTTGGGTAAGTCCATAGCCAAAGACTAGCTACTAGGTCGACAAGGTCGCAGTCCCGTACCAGCCTGCTGCTTCTCCTCCTCATGCCTGTTTGTTCGTCCGGGTTAATTACGGTCATAAACCAAAGACCTGACCAAATTGCGTTTGACTTTTGCAGGACACGGCTGGGCAGGAGCGTTACCGCACCATCACCACAGCCTACTACCGCGGGGCAATGGGTTTCATCCTGATGTATGATGTCACCAACGAGGACAGCTTCAACTCGGTCCAGGACTGGTGAGTGCACATCCCTTAGACACACACTCAGCAGGACACTGACTCTCGTCTCTCTCTACCCCCACAGGGTCACACAAATCAAAACCTACTCGTGGGACAATGCCCAGGTGATTTTGGTCGGTAACAAATGCGACATGGAGGATCAGCGCGTGATTAGCTTCGAGCGGGGCCGCCAGCTGGCCGATCAGCTGGGCGTGGAGTTCTTTGAGACGTCCGCCAAGGAGAATGTGAATGTGAAGGTGAGTGCCACCCACTGGGAATGGGAGACTTTCTAGATGTACTATATGTGTTTCAACCCGACCTCCCTACTGCGCCTTTAGGCTGTCTTCGAGCGTCTGGTGGATATTATATGCGACAAGATGTCCGAGAGCCTCGACGCAGATCCGACGTTAGTGGGCGGGGCACAGAAGGGGCAGCGCTTGACGGACCAGCCGCAGGGCACGCCCAACGCCAACTGCAACTGTTAGAGTGCCACCAGCCCCAGGAGAACGAGAAGCCGAGAAACCGAGCAAACGGAACCGTAATGACAGCGACAGCAACTGAGACAACAACATACAGAACAGAAACAGAAAAAACATGAAACATGAAACTTAAAACCAAACATAAAACCTAAAATCTAGCTAATTAGTCAGTTCATTAATCAAGAGATGAAGGGGCGCTAAACCGCCAGTTAAACGATGAAATGTATATGCAGGCGGCATCCATGAATATCATGAAATACGATGAGTACCATGAAATACGATGAATACCATGAATGATGCCTGTGTGCACTGTATTTGTAACCATATATATGTATGTATGTTTGTATATCCTTTGCGTTCGATCGCCTCCGTGTAAATGTCAAAATGTTATTTAATCAATGTTTCAATTGTAATCGATAATTGGTAATTGGTAATTTGTATCTTGTAACGTGTAATTTAATCGGCTGCCGCAGCAACGCACTAACTTGTTGAACATTGACTTGTATTGAGGAGAGCAGAGTCTAGGGCTAGCAGCACTAATTAAATGTGCACACATTCTGTGCTGAAAATAATTATTTCATTTGCCAACTAACTTCAACTTTAAATGCAACTGCAACTGCAACTGCATTCGCGATTCTCCATCTCCATTAAAGAAGGGGCTGGAAGCCGCCAACAGGCTACAGGGCACTTTCCACTTGTATATACATATGCTGACTAAACTGTACAGTTTAAATGCTTGGTCACAACGCACAAAGCTAGCAAATTGGTGAAATCGAACATAGTAACTAAAGCTACCATTATGACTAATCTATATACATACACATATGTATGACACACACACACAACACACACAAAACACACATATAGCCCCGATCCCGTCTTGCCTTGGCTGGAAGGCTGTGGGGGTCGCGACCGATCGCGATCGGTCTGTGGAGCAACCTCACACAGAGACAAATACAGATAAAGACACATTCACAGATACAGATACACACACATGCTCGTATATATGTAGAGCTATTTATGGGGTCGTTTGCATGTAATCGAGTGGTAAGCCATAATTAATATTATTAAATATGTACCTATTATTATTATTATTATGTACGTATGTATTTATGTAGTGAAAATGGAAAAATTTTAATGTGTTGCAATTGATAAATGAAATATATACATAAAATATACATACCATATACGATAACTAGTAATATACAGATCCATTGCCTGTAGGTGCGTTCGCAGTGTTCCCTGTCTTTCCCCTTTTCAAGTTCCGAATCCTTTCTGACAATAACGTGCTGAAGACAGAACAGAACTTGAGGATCGAAATGATCCACAGCTTCCCTCCCCCTACTAACGGCCAGGCAACAAAATTGTTTTCCATACTGAAATTTAACCGCACAGCGCACAATTTATTGAATTGTTTTAACCAGATGACGAAAGTTGCGATTTGTGAATTGAAATTGAATTGAGAGAAATTAATTAAACCCACCGAGCCAGCTGAGAGATCGGTGCATTTAATTTGCCAACTATCCTCCCGACATCCTCTTTTGATAAGCACACCCCCCTACCCCCCACTTTTATACTGTCGTACAAAGCTGCTATGCTATCGCCATCCATCTTATCCTTTGCTATTGTTAAAGACACAACCAACTGCTGCCGGTGACAGAGTTAGGTGACGTACCCTGTACGTACATACATATAGTACATATAGTACATATGTATATTGTATGTATATTTGAGGGCGATGCCAGAGGCCAGAGGCTGAAACTGCTGAAATCTGAATATATAATTGAATATATATACATATTTGTGTGTGTATTTGTAATTGCTCGTTAATGTTAAATATGTATGTGTACACGCAGAGTTTCACTTGAATTACGATTAAATTAAAGGCATATCGCTGTATTATAAATACCCAAAAACGAATCGAGTTACCATACTACATACATACATACATACATGTATTGTATATCCCAATATACATCTGGAGAAATGAAAGCTAGATATATGCCCCCTTCCCCTCCCCCTCCACGACAAACAAAATGCACAACGAGCTGAAACTGAATTGAGTGTGGAATGGTAGAGGGTAAATGTGTAATAATAGAGAAAATTCTATACGAAAATGCCTTAAACAAACTAGAGCTGACGCGTACATTGACTATTGATTATTCGGCATTATTCGATCTGTTTTGTAAAATAGTTAAACATACAACTAACTGCATAGCCATTCAACTAAATGAAACTAAACTAAACTGAACTAATCTAACTAAATTAAAACTGAAATCAAACCAAATAACACAATTAACAAACAATTGTTATCAAATTCATACTCGTGAATAGTGAATAGTGCATAAAAGGTTTTTGCGCTACATTGTTGTCCTTTAACGAATATATGTACATACCTACAAATGTATGTATGTACTAGCATATTGATTATGGCATTGTGTACTCAGCCAAACCCTAATATTTGTGAACCATACTCGAACCATAATCGTAATCAAAAAAAAAACAAAAACAATGCATGGCATGGCATCATTTTTATTCCATTTGAATTGCAGCAGAATTAGCCAACTATAAAATGCATACAATACTGTCAAGCCCAAAACAAAACCCAAAAATATAAATCAAATAATTCCGTATGTTATTCAATGATGGTTTTTAAATACCAACACATCTGCATCTGCATTTGCATACCCGTGCTTATGAGGATACTTACATAGAGATACACACGTACATATATACATACATAATATACACATAATGGTATTGAAATTATTGTATTCCCATAATAAAAATATATGCAAAAGGTGTATGGCAAAACAACTCAATAGCTACCTTGTTTTAGTACATATATTTTAGAAGCGGAAAGCGATGTACCAGTAGCACAGGTAATTCTCCTATTATTTCCAGAACTAGATCGATGGACGACAAGCTACGACATTATCTTTGGATCCACTGCACAATTCCATTTACATAGTTTGTAAATTCCTACAGACAGTGGTATAATTTTGACCAGTCTCCAATTAAAGTTGCTTACCGTTGATTAGGGCTGGCTGAAAGTACCATTTCCATGGCATGTTCGGGAGGTGGAAACTCAAACGCGCACACATTATTGGTTTTGTATATACATTTTACACGTTTTATTCGTATTGATCAACTTTAAAGTTAAATAAGTCATAGATATCATATCGTATAATGCACAATCAATGGCCAAGCTGAGGGCGCTGTGGCGCGAACAGAACAATAGATCGAGTACAGTACAGTACAGTACAGTGAGTTCTGCTCATGAATTATTTATTTATAAATTGTACACACTTTACATCGGCATGAGTGGCTATTGTGGTGTCGGGGAGGGGATCAAACTGTTGAGCAAGCTTCCTCTAGCTAGATTTTGATAATATTATAGACAAATATGTATGTGTATGCGAATATACTGTTTAGATATGTTTATGGTGTCCGTGTGCGTGTGTGCTCTATAGTTCCCATACTCTTACTATGTGTACGTGTCCTGCATACACATATTGAATATTGTTATGCTGTCTATATGCATGCCTCTTGTATGTGAGTTTGCACAGTTTTTATTGTACAGTTGCCAAGTTGTCGCAGGCTGAATGAGATACTGACACGGTCCACGGCCACGATAAATGCTTTCACTTCAGAGTCTCCTCTGGCTTGGACACTCTGCATCCCTATGTTGATATTTTCCATTTACAAGCTCTTCCCCCTTTAAATAATTTGGCATAATTAAGCTCTACCTTCGTACGGGTTCTCGAGGCAAAAAACTTTCTACTGCCCCGTACCATGTCCCATTTTTTTTGCTAACTAATAATGAATGAATTTTGTTAGTCCGTTTCTTTTGGGAGCGCAATACTCGTGCATTTCAATGGGACCTAAATGCGAATGCTCTGTGTGAGTATAGGTTTACGTATTCGTACTCGTGTTAGTGTAATTAGAACTTAACTTAATGGCAGAACAAAAATGCATAAAATCAGTCTGACTTGTTTTTAAACATTAATTATAGGTATACAAATACCTACAATATGGTATAATACTACACGCACCGCACCCGCACATACTCGTACTCATACTTGTACTCGTACTCGTAGCGGGGCTGAGTAAATTAAATTACACAGTTGCGAGCACAGTGCAACTTGTGCTCCTTTTAGTTGTATAAATTAATTACTAAAATATACTAAAATATATGCATAAATATGTTCCTTAAACTGGTACTCGTATGGGTTTTTGTGTGTTGTTTGTGTGTGAGTGCTAAGCGGTATTTACGTAAGAGTAATATGCGTGTGTTTTATTCGACAGGATGTTTGTGTATATTATGTACAGGATTCTAATGATGGAGTTATGGCCTTCGATGCCGCTGCCCCTGCCCCGCCTCTCGCTTGGCATGGCTTGGCCTGGAGTGTGCTTCCCCTGAAAGTATGCAAGTAGGCATTGGTCCAGGCAGGAGCTCAAGCATTTGTGGTGCTTCTGTATTGCGGCGGCTTGCGTCTAATTGTGGCAAAGTGTTGCGCCTGGTTATTCGTACGCTGCTGAAGATGATGCTGCAGCTGTTGCTTCTGCTTCTGTTTCTGCTTCTGCCTCTGCCTTTGCTTTTGTTTCTGCTGCAGTTGCTGGGACAGTTGTCACACTGTGGTCTCGTCATCATCAATATTCCGCCTGTTTGCGACAGAGAGAGGTGACATTAGTTCGGTTAAATCCCAGACTTAATTGTTCATTACTACTGGCAGTGTCTGAAGTGTTCAATCTACAGTGCACTACAATAGTCTGCGTGTGCCAAGTGCCACGTGCCACGTGCTTAATAGAGTGCATTATTTATGGCATGCCGCTACATACGTTTGTAGGTCTCATAAATTGCACTCGGATACTTAGTTCAACGTGCTTAATGTTTAGTTTTACGTATATGTATGTAGATTAGGTTTTTGGTTTCGTGCAAGCGTAAACATAATTTGTGCAATAGAATTATTAAGCTGAACAAATGAACATAAATCTACGACTGGGTGTCAGTGTGTGTGTGTGTGTGTGTGTGTGTGTGAGTGTGTATGGGTGTTTCGGGTGAGGAGGTGTACATAGGTATGAATAGTAGATTAGACCGCATGGGTCAAGTTATTCGAGTGCTAATGGATTCTGGGGGTGTTCTGGGCGTTAAATCATAATCATTATTGGGCTTAAATGTCCTTGGTTTTGGTTCGAACTCTATCGACAATGAATACATTAATATATTATGTACTATAGGGGGGAAAACTCGGCACTGGCATTACGAGTAATTGATTTTGATAGTTTTGCTTATTCCCTCTGTCACTTGGAGTGTTGGAGGCTATTGGCTTTTGGATTGGATTGACTAACTGAGGGGGAAAGCTATGTAGCTAAATGGTTCCTTTTTTTTCGGTTATCAGTTATACCATATTGTTAGCGACCAAGGATACTGCTGCCTCTGTTGCCTGCGTTGCAGCCAAATAATGTCGAACTGTGGAGATGTGGATGTTGTACAGAGAGTTTGTTCATGTGTTGGTTAGTTGATTGACTGTGTGTGTGTGGATGTGTAGATGAGGGGTATGAGGGGTATGTAAACATGTACACAAGTATGTAATGTATGACTGATGTTTGTATACGATTGTTGAATGAGAACATAACACAAGTTTTAAATCAATTCAATTCAATTCAAAATTACGGGTTGCAATTGCATTACATTCGAATTACAAATCACAGAGTGTAAAATTCAGTTAAACTGATAAATCAAATGAATGAATGAAACTGAAACAAGAGAGGTGGGGGGATATACAAATTTAGTAAATATACAAAAGAAAATCAATATTTACATTCAATGGTTCAGGGGGAGAGGTTCAAATTAAATCGAAAATTGCGCACTCTGAAATTTGGCAAGGAGATCGAATCAAAACGAAACGAATCGAATCGAAACATATCCCTTTTATGTACACTTAAGCTATGCCAAACGAAACGGAAAACGAAAAATGTAACAAAAAACAACGATGGACGTGTGGATAAATGGGGAAATGTGATGTGCGAGTTGAAAATGCATTTTCCTTGTGGTTTACCTCTGAGCTGTTGATGTAGTTGTAGTTGTAG